CAGCTTTTTATCGGACTGKGAGACCTGCCGTTTCTTTCATTAGCGGCGTTTTTAACAAGGCTCGCCTTCTCACTTTAGCTCGCCTTCAAASAGATGTTCTTTGTCTAYCCAGAGGGTRYTTGATCTAAGACCSGAMGTGTAATAGAATCGTTTCTGGCCACTCCCAAGTGAATGGTACTCAGAGAACTTTCCTCACTTGCACGAACTTCTACACAAGACTCCATCCTCCAGAACAATAATATTTCGAGCTGCAGAGCTTAATCGAGCAGGTATAATATTCTATAAAAGTGTACAGATGCTGGCGTATGCCGATGATATCGACATCACAGTCCCCGACAACTGCGCCGTTAGTTCTGTTTTCTCCAGAACAGATAAGAAAGCGAAGCAAGTGGGCCTGGTAGTAAACGAGGGCAAGACGAAATATCTTCTGTAATCAAACAAACAATCGTCGCACTCGCGACTTGGCTCCCACATCGAAGACGTAGATGAATTCRCCTAACTTGGAATCAGTGTTAACAACAACGTCAGTCTTGAAATCCAASACAGAAAACTCTTTCCAACAGGTACTTCGGACTGAGTAGTCAATTGGTAAGTAAAGTCCTGAATAGTCAATTGAAAAGTAAAGTCCTCTCTCGACGAACAAAGGCCAAACTCTACAAGTCACTCATAAACCGCGTCCAGATATATGATGCAGGGACATAGACGATAACAACATCTTATGAGACGGCGTTACGAATACTCGAAAGAAAATTCGAGAGATCCGGAAAGGCCTCTTCAAGACGTTCGATACCAGAACACGTTTTAATCAAAGTGTAATGTACTGCTGGAAAATGTGCTAAGCACCGCTTGTTGATAAATCACTGTGAAGGACGATGCTACTGAGGCACTCAGCCGACATTGACATCGTAAGCTTCCACCGCCTACGCTGCCTTTTCCAGACTAGAAAAGTTTGGTCTTGTGGTGAATTTGAAAAAGTGTAGGACTTTGCTTGTCTCGGGAACAGCATAAATAGATCAAGCGTTGAATAACTCTTGCCAATAGGAGCTACTTTCGAATCAGCAGGACAGCAGCAGTTTCTTCTCGCGACGAACAAAACTTACACTCTATGAGCCACTTAATTCTTAAAAATTATACTCTATAGGTCACGTATCATTACCGCCTTCTACACAAAAACATGAACGATGTCTTTAGAGCTGTCCGCGTGAGTTACAATTATCGAAGTAAATGAAACCACGAAATGTATCAACTCTAAGGCGACATGAATATAGTAARGCTCGTACTCATCCAAAGAATGAGCTGGTTAGGCTATGTCGTGCGCATCCGTCTTTTTGAATTCCAAACCAATGGATGGACAACGGGGGACCATTCTAGCAACACCTCGCAAAAGATAGACTGGCTACTACGAAAATTTTTGTGTGTTCGCTCAGACCGACCAACGTGTAGTGCCAAAGAAGAAAAACATAGTTAATATGAAATTAAGTTCTACTAAGACTGAATATCGTGGATACTCCATATTTTAATGATTGTTACATAAGAGCTTTTAAAAATTGAGATATTAAAAGCTATACATGGTTAGGCTTCAGAAGTGTATTAAGCGGAAAGTTTACCAAAGGAGCCTGAGCTTTCAAAGACTTTTTCACTTTTATATGGTCCAAGAAAGAGCTTTACAAATGAGTTTGAACTTTGCAAGGGTAATCAGCTAAAAGCTAACTAAAATCAAATAAGATAATTAAAATGAAATTTTAAATTTTTTTTAGATYTTAAAGAACTTTGAACAATTTTAAATAGTTCAAGGGACATATTTTAATTAACTTACTCTTCCACAGATTTACCATAAAAGTGTTAAGCGCTCATTCGCGTCCACATTCGCCGAGGAAATATTCCAATCCGTTTTAATACCTTCGGATACGGATTTCAGAAACTTTCGCGATTTCGATAAAGTACCAGGTAAGTGCAGCCAAGCATAATGAAAAAGCATTGATATATGTAAATATTATAGATTTTTTATGATTCATATAGGCATTTCCGGACATTATATTAGCTTTGAGCACGAACGTGATGCCGAAACAAAGAAGTTTCTTACGACATTCCCATCTTATTCATATATTATGGAATGGACAAGTTCTTATGAACGTTATATGTTTTAAGTAAAGTGTTACATATTTATATATATTTTTGTTTTGGTTCACATGCAGACGATATTAATAATAAAGAGTTAGTAAGAAAATTATATCAAATCACATTTAAGCATTGCCGCCCATGATTTTTTGTACTGCACGATCGAATTTTCTGTGAAAGGAATCATATTAGTAAAAATAAATATTTCAAATCGTAAATTTTACGCAAAGCATAAGCACTTACTTAGAAGCAAGAGGCTCGCCCGGCGCATAAAATGGATTGCAGACAGCATCCGTGTAAAGCATATGTAAATTTCGAAACATCTGTTGGAGCAAAGTATTGTATTAAATATTATGAGTTAAAATTTAATTGCTTTCTTTCGACTGCATATCTGCATAAATACTCACTGCTCTCACTTCATTCTCACGCAGTGCTATATTTCCTGAATCCACAACTATGACAAACTTAATTTTGGTGTTAGTCACAAAGCCATAACTGAATAAGAAAAGCAAAGGAAGAATTAGATCAACAAATTTTGTATATACATATAAATATATTTACAAAAAATCGCTTACATCTTATGTGTCTCAGTCGAGTACAGCATACCCAAGTAGAGTTCTTTGGATTCTGGCGTAGCTTTACTGATAGGCTGACATTTTTCCTCAACGACATCGAGTGCAGCATGGACCCGATACTGAAGTTCCAGTTCCTTATCCATATCAGCTGTAGTTAGGTATAAAGGGGCATTCTGAAAGTAAAGATACTTTCTTTTAATTATATTATATATTATGTTAACAACCTGGCTTTCCAGATATTTCAAGGCTCACATATTTGTGTTTACATTTCCAAACAACTTATTTTGTGATCGCTTTATTTTACAATTAGGCTTTTATAAGTTAAAAATAAAAATAAAAGACAATATGCTGAAATATATCTAATTTTAAAAAGGAAATGTAAAATATCACCTCACGATTTCTCTAATTAAGTTTCCGKTATTTTTCAAAATAGTTTTCTCGTTATTTTGTGGTTAATGTGCATTATTATATCTGGCAGTTTTCATTTTTCGAGTCTCGTCATTCACACTTTTGTTTACTATCGCAGCAAATGAGAAAAAACTTCTCTGCTATATGTCACAAAGCATAAATTTAGGGAGGATTTTAACTATACCTTACCAAAATGCGTAGTTTTTTTTTATCACAAATGCACTTCTTTGTATAAATGAAACTTACATCTTTCCCAATTATTGAAATGCACACAGCCATAGTAAATTTAATAAATCAAATGTATCATTCTTGAATTAGCACAACTACTCCACGGAACTTGATGACAATTTATAATGTAGTGCTGCCAGATAAACACATTCATACCAAGTATTTTAAAAATTGTGATATTTATTAATAATATTATATTAGATACGTTAAGATAATTGGAAAAAATACAAATTTATTCTAATTAAATAATTAGAAAAGATATTAATTAAGATATAGRTCTTTTATTTGCGAAAAGTCAAATGCAAAATTATACAATAATTTTCCGCAAAGCTGTTTGCAAATAGAATGTCAAAATGTAAAAACATATGATAATTCAAAACACAAAGGTAAATTAATCAAAACATTATACGCGACTYTACGATACTAAGCAACAAATTTTTTGCTAAATAAATAGTGGCAACTGTATAAATAACCGTTCCGATGTAATCATTAGAAATTTAATATTTCTTACATTTTCCACAGGAATTGCTGTATATAATAAACTGTTATGGCTTTGCCCCCTTTTGAACCACCTGAAGAAGAATTCCCGTTCCACAGAAATGGATTTTATGAACCTCCTTTTCAGCCCTGTTATGTGCTCTTCTTCAACACCACAAATCGTCATATCAAATTATTTTGGTTCGACAACAAGGAGACTAAATATCATACCTCATTGGCGCCAGGCCACCACCTCAAAACGAATACCTTCACCCATCATCCTTGGATATTTTGTGATAGGGACAGTAACGAATTAATGAGTGTAAGTGAACACTAATCTGTGGAATTTATTCCAAATTTTTGACGGCARCAACTTAATTTGATTGTAGGTGCATAATCTACCTAGATATTGGCCAATACCATATAAAATTCGCAATCCAAATAATCCCGCACGTATGATGCCTTGTCGTAAAGAGATCAGAATACAATACCCTTTACGAACTTTACGCGAAAGTTGTCTTTGCCGAATTGTAAATACRTTGAATCCATTGCATCCAATAGCGGCGGTCAAGATAATTGATGAACGTATGTCCCTACCACATATTTTGAAAAAAGAACTAAAACGACGATTAAGACGGCCACTGGGGACCGAACCAATAAATGAGGAGTGGGAGGATAGCATAGTTGTAAAATATAATATACCAAGAAATCAATAGATTTTTGTTTGATAAACAATTTGTTTATAGTTAATATATATATATATATGTATGCATGTGTACTCTAAAGTTCCTAAAAGCATTAAGTTATTTCGCTTTTAAGATTTTATACACTATACATATGTATATGTATGTATCTTTCCAATTGATTTTCTACTGGTTCAGCTCATAACTACCGCTAATGAACGTATAAATTCTAAGGTATTTTATAAAATAAAAACAAATGTAATCATATATACAAATTTGTCAGTTTATTGGCATGAATGCAGTTGCTTATAATCCTTGTGTGAAATTTGAATTTCTGTATACTTTTAATGTATTATATATACTTTTTTCTTTCAATATAGTAAATTAATTTTATAATAGTTGCTGCTGTTATAGCAGAATTTTTGATTTCGTAATTTATTTGCATTTTCTTTTATTTATATGATTTCGTATAGAATAGCTTTAAACTTATATTAAAGTAAACAACTTGTAGATAATACACGCCACATACATTTTATGCATTAATACATATTATTCAATATATCCAAAACTWATATCTTAAATGTCGCTAGAATCCGTAAAATATATGTAAACAATTTCAGACCGAGCTGTAAGCTCGTTTTAAAGAATATTTAGACCACAGATATGAATACATAACAGATTTTGACAAAACATGTTTTTTTTAACACGTAGACATAGAAAATCTGAACACTGCCMTTGTTCTACAATGCACTTTTTTAAGTTTTTACTTTTAACAATGCAGAATTTGTTCATAACAATTTAATTTACTACGGTTCATTTCGCGCAACCGCAAGCTGAAAATGAACTGCGCAAGTTCATTCGTTTGCGAGTCTCACTTTCRCAATATCGTGTAAATAAATATCATGGTGTTTTAATTTAATTACAAATAGTTTTTTTTTAGTTGAGCGCATTTACGTTGAATGCAAACGGTTTGGCGTTTAAAAGTTGGTAATTTTTAATGGATTATTGTGAATGTAAATTTGCTACTCCTATAAAGTATTTTCTTAAATGCAGATTATTATAGGATTGAAGATAAACTAAGCAAATGTAATGTAAGCAAAAATAAAACAAAAACAAAAAAAAATTAAATCCTTAATGCAACAACAAAAATGCATCCAAAAGTGAATTTGGCGTTAGAATAACCAGCTTAKTTTTATATGCGCACAGATTTAAAAGTATAAATTTATATATGTATATTTATTTTGTTTTTGAATGCACGTTTTGTAAAGATATCGGGATTTGTTTTGCGAAATAAATAAAACAGATATCAAAAATCGTCAAACAAATGGTTAAACTGACGACACACATATGTATATGTGGATGCATGAACATAATCTCTACAAACATAAGCACTAGCTCCCAACTAGACTAAGACTCATTAAACAACTCATTTCTTGTTTCAATGTTCTGCAAAAATAAATTGCACTAATTTTCATTTTAGTTCGAAGCCAATATGCACTACATTTTTCCCATCTTTCATTGCAACATTGGAAATTTAGCAATACCTTTTTGGGCACAACGAAGCCAAATGGTGTRGATGAAATGGTGGCGAATGTAGGAGGACTCGTCTTTACTCTAAGCATATATGTTGTTGGTTTTGATGTTGGCGTTGGCGGTAATTTTTGTCGAGACTATTCACAGTTTACCATCATAGCTAAAATTTGGCTTCGTCTTATACTGGAAAGTCAAATCGGTCGACTGTTTCCAAATGAAGTGACGCACTGTACGCAAATCCATGTTAGGATCTACCACCTATTCAGAATTAATATGCAAATAAATATATGTATTTACAAACATAAAAAATAAAAATCCGATTTATACTCACAACATCGTTACACCATAACTCGATGCGATCCTCTGCAGGTACTTGTGATCCCTCTGAATTCGCATCACTTTGACTATTCTGCGAAGAATTTGAAGCGTTACCGCCACTCGGTGTTGTCTCTGCACCCAGTACTTTTTCCAAAACATGCTCGCACACTTTCCGACATTGTATAAACTCATTGGCAACTAGGCGATCCTGCAGGAAAAGAAAAGTATAATAAGTATACCACTGATTTACTTAAGAGCACAGAATAAAAAACAAGTATTCACCTTTTTGGTACGTTCAGGTTTAATCATTTGTGGGTGCGGCTGCAGGAAGAAAGGTATTTTTAAGAACTTCGGAATAGTCTTCTCAATCACAACATCTGTGACCCACTGTGGTACGGTTTCGTGCAGTAACGTACTTTCACTCTCTCCAGCTGCATCACGCACCAAAAGTCGACAAACCGTACGTCCACCTACCTCACTGTGAAACAGTTATGTACTGTTATTGAAAATATAAAATATTTTGTAAATATTTACCTAAAAATAACCGGTGTGTGCTTGGGCACTTGAAAATAACCATTTCCATGGCTATCTGGCTCTAATTCACTTTGTGGTAAGCTGTGGGGTGGTGTCCAGCTTTCTAATAATGCTTCCAGTAGTAGTTTGCCATAATTTATCTGTAAATAACAACAAATTAGAGATTTTATTGGTGTTAGCTTGACATGTTTACACACCTTAGTCTCTGATGTTGGTTCCGCACATTCTGGAAGTCCAGCCTCTATAGACACCCACGCAGCAAAGCAGTCAACTTCATCCTGGCCTAATACAATTGTTGGCATCTAATGGAAAGAGAGTAAAACTGAATTACAGTACGCTTCCTAACTTCGTTATGACTTACTCCAGTCTTTAAATCCACCGTAAACCAATTTGGAATGTAAACTTGTTTATTACGTTTTTTCAATTCTTCATCAAAATCCACTTTGCCCAAATCCTCTTTTTTCATTACACGCAGCACATCGTAAATAGCAACATTCTCTTCAGTATCCTTGGTKACTATATAACGTTTGTCGTTTAAAACGACACATTTCTTAACKGCCGCACCACCTAGTTTTTATATGAATACATTATTTATTTTATATTCACCAACATCTTCTTTAAACTCAAACCTTTGATGCATGTCAGTTCAGTATTCGACGCTATCGCCCACTGTGCGTCCATACCTCCACTAGATGTTAAAGTACATTTGTCATATAATGGTAATTTCCAACAGCGTATATCTGAATTCCACGTGGTGGCCCAAACACCTGTTTTATCAATGTTATATCCAAGACTAAGCACTGGCGCACGCTCCTCACAAACTAATACCGAATTGCTTGGGTTCCTCAATTCAGTAACTATGATATTCTTATCTCGACTGCCGGAAATCACATACTGAAAGTTTTCACTCATTAATAGCGCCCAAACACCTTCCTTGTGTACATGTAACGTCTGTATACATCGCTGTTGGCCCAAATTCCAAAGTTTGATTGTTCCATCTGAACTGCCAGAGACTACTTGACTGCCATCAGGTGAAACTACTAATGCACGTACATTTTCAGTGTGACCTCGCAGCTTCATGCTCCGTGTACAGGTACGAGGATCCCAAATACGTAATATATTTTCCGTTGAACCGCTAACAATAACCGTACCCGAAGGGTTCATAGCCAGACTATATATAGAGTCTTTAGAACCGGTGAGACTAGAGGCTATGGTGGTAATAAATAATTTATGTGAATAAAATTACATAAGTTAGTGGAATAATAGTTTGACTTACTTGTAACGGTATTGTTGCTGGCAGTCAGTGCGGTTAGGGTGTTAACGTCCCAAAGGAAAATCGCTTTGTCCAGCCCTGCACTTGCCACTTGTTCGCGATCTCTGGCATAGGCCAATGCCTGCACATAATCCCGATGTGTGCGTAGCGTTGACATGCAGAAGCCTTTATGGGCATTCCACACTTTGACGGTGGTATCACAGCTGGCGCTTATTACTATAAAACGTATAAACATAATTTAATAATTGACAAAAAAAAAAATTAACTTCGGTTGTTCTATAATACCCTTCACAAATAAAAAGGAACATGAGTTTAATAATTCAGCTTGTATGGGAGGATATCGGCGATACCGACAATTGAAGAGAAAAGAACGCCTGCAAATTTTGAGATCGATATCTTAAAAACTGAGGGACTATTTAGCATATATACTACAAACAAAAGGACGGGCAGACGGACAATTCGCTGTTCAATGTATTAAACCAAAAAAAAAAATCTCTCATATACTCACAATTTCTGCCATTACAACAGAGCACTATATCATTAACCCAATCGTTATGGTGTTCCATTGATTGTATATATTTCTCTGAAGATTCAGTTCTTGTGTTCCATACTCGAATAATAGCATCACGCCCAGCGGAATATAGTTTGCCATTATTGGGATCGAGTTGTAGCGCATTAACACCGTTTCTGTGTTGTTTTTCCTCTGCATCTCGTATTACAAACGACACCTAATTTGAAGCAATGTGAAAAAATTAGTTTACACTAAGCTTGTCCTATACTTATTAAATTCCTTTACATCCACTTTCATGTGCCGGCAGTGTATTGTATTTGCAATTACTTGGCAAACCACTTAAGTGCATTGAGGACTCACTTCATAACCTACCTGCATTTTCTTACGTCCACCTTGACAACCTTTATGCGTTAACATGTCTGTTACCACTAATCCCAAGCAATGGTAATGTTACTTTGGCAAAGCAATGCTGATGCAATTCTTTCGGTCCGATTGAATATATTGACGTTGGAAAAAATCGTTGTGCTCTTCTATTAATGGTAATAAGTGTATGCCGTGGGAAATACTAGATTTTTTTCTTATTTTGTTTTGGACAAGTTTCTGAATAAATTCTTTTTCGTCTACACTTATTTTCACACCAAAATAAAAAACAATTAAAACTTGTTAAACAAATTTTCACTAATTGTCCTTTTTGCACAGTTGTTCTCTTCAGATTTCTATACTCTTTGGGATMACTTACGCCTGTCTTGACTCTCTTTCGCTAATAAATTGTCAACATTAATGACAGCTCCACGGTGCGAATGTCAATCAAAACGTACGGCATTTGAAATCTGATAAGAAACATTGATAATGTTGTCATATGCATAGAATTTTTCTATTCCAATTTTCTGGCATGAAAAAAATTTCATAAATATATATACAAAAATAAAAATAAACATATATTTATAACATAGGCCCTTTACTGCTGTATAAAAATATTTGTTTAATCTTTTTTTTATTGGAAATAAGTAAATTTTGAAGTAACGCTACTACGCTCTGTGCAACTCTGTACAACTTTGTTGACAAATAAACCCTAAAGTGGTTTTGAGTATTTTCTTTTCAATTCAATTCTATATCTTTGGGCGATTGGTTGTTTGAAAATTGCGTCGGGCGATGTTGTGCATAAAAATAAAATAACAAAATTGAAGATAATAAATTAAATTTCAAGTTCTAATGACGTGCATTTGTGATAGCTATCCAAATAAAGCAAGTGTATATTTATGAACGTAACGCGAAACCAGAGAGAAGTGAACAAAGGCACGAAAGCGTTGTGACGACGGAAAGTTTTTTAAGTGAAGTTTTTATGYGAGGAAATTTAAATAAATTAAACAAGGAAAGACTGACAATAATTACATACAACTTCCATAGTGTTGTTAGGTGTAATAATAACATAACAAACTAGCTATTRGCGGCATAACATTGGGAATTACTCCGCAACTACTGCTTCATTGTTACAACTTTCAGGACAGCATTTTAGGAATTGTTCAAGGTAGGTAAATAAAAGTTTATATCTAATGAATTTGAAGTGGATATGTGCAGCAACTACTTCAATTGGCAATCAATAATATACRAATCATTTATGTATATTTTTGCCTAAGAACACATACACACATAAACATGCACAACGCAAACATTTTAGTGATAGCCCACTTTAAACGCCTTCTATCCTTGAGCGTCGTTGAACGGACGAAACGCACCCTTCAATCAAGAAATTTTACCATCATAGACCAGCGCATAAAGAGTCCTAAAACATGATTGTGAATGAAATAGCAGTGGGGTGTTAAGCATGCAGTCACGAACGGTGGAATGAAACTTCCGCCACTATATGCCTATATTTGCGTTTGTTCAATGCATGAAACGAAACATTTTATTATTTATACAAATGCGTAGCATATCCATTCCTCATATGATTTGTCTATGCCTACATAGTTAAAAATCTGTTCTTTCTGTGGTTTCAGTCCTTATAGTTATAATAAACATACATACACACACATGTCTATTTGCCCATATCCGTACATTGATACATATATATGTACATAGTATCACATTTGTTGATTAAATTTTTATTCTGAAAGGTAATTATATTTTATTTTATTTCTCAGGTGCTACAAAGCATATATATATTTTRTATATTGGTAGGCAATAATTTAGCATATAGGCTCGTGCAATTTAACGATATTATGAAATGGCCGTTATTTCGTTTTTCCAATTTGTACACTGAACAGAAAATATTAAGTTTGCCAAGATTTTTCTTGTATAAATACAGATATAAAATTTTATATCAATAATATTTCTATGCATTAGTATTCGAAAATTAAGGCTTAAACCATATAGCATGCACAAATTAAGTTAAATACGCACTATCATATCGTATCATATGTAAGTACATAGAAACAAGATCTGTCATTAGCAGGATTTAACTAAATGCTCCATAAAAAGCAACTGCCTTCTAAACATAATAATTTCTAACCAATATACTTTTGACAATATAATATACCGAAGCAAATCAAACGCTAACGCAACTTATTACCTTTACYTATTATTTATTACCTCGCCTACGAAGCCCATTATTTGCAAAGTCAGTAACTGAAAAGACTTGCTGTAGGTTTAACCTGCAACACGTGATTACTTCATTAACACAACCATATTTGAACCGGCAGTAATTTCCGGCTTTAATGAGGATTCTTTTACCGCTACTTTGTAATATAATTTTTCATTGCTTTTGCGATCATTACATTTAGCTTTGAGTGTCTTATTTAGTTGSCTCAAACAAATACCCCTCCTTGTGAGGAGCATACTTTTTGTTATTGCCACAGCAGCTAAATACATATTTAGGTTAAAACATACATTAGTATGCACATTCATTTCAATACATTGGCSCAGCCATAATAGTCGTTGTGTCCAAACACTTGCTTCTATTGTGCTGTCACATGCCCTCAGTAAGCCCAATGTGTCACTACCGCTCAACGGAAACAAACCCAGTATGTCCACCGTATTTGCGGCATTTGGCGCGCGTATATTATATTTGCTTTATACATACATACACATCGTCTTTATATGCACATATTTATTATATACATAATTTTCTATTTCATTTGAAGCTACAATTCATCTGCTTAAATGAATTCAAGCAAATCGATTGTTTGGGCTTGCCAACAAATGTAAGAAGTTCTTGTTGGTGTTCGAAAATTGTATGCACACATTCAAATAATACATATAATTAATCTTTATACCGTAACCTAGTGTTAGTTTAATTTATTTGCGGACTATGTTATTCCCATCCTCTTATGTCAGTTATTTTGTTGGGTTGTATAGTATGAGGTTTGTTCGTATACAATAAGTTATATGTATATGAATGATATAAAATTCAACTATSTACTATTTCGAAAAATTACCCTTTTTTGTTGTAAAATCGTTGCATTTGATCTGTGATGCCTTAAAAAATATGTAGTTTAAGTATTTGAGTCTTTATTTAATATTTGTGAAACTGTACATTTTTTATGAACTGCGTTTTTTTTTTTAATTATAGTGTTTTGCTAATACCAAACATATGTTATWGATATCATTAGGTAATTACTTCCTAAGTTATTTCCCTTACAACTTAATTTCGCGCAAAGATTTTCGTGTAACGTCTGTACTCTGTTTAAAAATTCCAAACACCATAGCTCAAACTTGTATTTGATTTGCACTGAAYATGTAAACATGCGAGTATGAACAAGTGTTCAAAGTCACGTTAAAATGTGCAGTTAAAAATATTTACTGCGCTATTTCAGCCTATCGACGAGGTGGGTGGCATCTGGCTGAGAAACAGGCTATATATATATATATATATATATGTATGCTTTACAAGCGTTTGTATTTACTTCTACAAATACATATGTAGACGGGTTCATATTCAATTCCATACTGTAACTTCATAAATTTACAGGAAGTGCAATATTCATTCAACTAAAATATGCATTTTGCAACCTGAACAACGTAAAATAAAATTTAAGTAAACCACTTTCCCAGCATGACTAAATTATTCATGTGCGAATGCAGAGGTTATGAATGAAAAAGTAGTCACCTTCATATATGTACATATGTATGTGTTGTATTTGTGCAATTTGTAGAGATTCACTCAGGTATTSGTAGCACGCCCGTCTAATTAAAGTCAATTTTATTTATTAATATGTTTCAGAAATAAGTATTAAATTTTTATTTAAAAAACGACCGAGCAGCACGGGGCTGCTTCGATTTTTTAATTTGGGATTTTTTCTCGCCCGAATCTCAAAAAGTGGTCAGGCAAATTCATTGTAGTTTAGGCATACACATACATATATGCATAAACTATAAAAATGTATGTACATGTAAACATGCGAGTCAAAAGCAATTTATTTTCAAATTTTCGCAAGACCGCAACGTATTCTATAACTTAGACAATTGATCCATATTTTTCCCTAATGAATATGTACCTATATCTAGATCTAAATGCCAATAGCACAGCTTAAATAATAAAGGAAAATAATTAACCCGTGCGCTATTGATAGAGAATAAAGTCATACATTTGTATACCATATACCCAGTAGTCAAATCTACTAAATATAAAGTACTACATAAATATCTATGCAAAGTAAGCCCAAACGAATTGAAAATAGTTAATAGTTATTTAGTAATAATTTTYAAAAGTGAAAGCTTCATAATTTCTTGCACAAACTTCTAACTGTTATAGTTGTTGTTGTAAGGGCAAAAACATGTCTGATTAATGTTGCCAATTGACATTCTTTCAACAAATGGTAATCCGAGCACCTCAGTAGACCCGACTGTTATGTGAAAAATACACCAGTRAAGGATATTATAGCKTTGATACCACCGAAGTTAACGTCTTTTTTTTAGTTGAAATCGATTGCTTTTTKAGAACATATGTATGTTGAAATAAAAATTTTTAGCTTTCATTAAGTTCTTTTAATTTTTATTGCGGCATTCTAAAAATAATAATTCCATAATTATCACAAAAAATTTTATCTTTTCTAATAAGCATTTGTAAAAGCTCCAGTTTTTATTAAAAATAGTGCCTTGAATTGAAGTCTTGCACACTTGTATTTCTACAGAATTCAAATCATATTAATATTTATCATACAAGTACACGGTCTATTTATTAATTGATAAGCTCTTTAAATATATATATRCAAATGTTGATAAGTGCCACTCAGTGTCAGCGTCCGAAGAAATAAACAAAAAAGCTTAGCAAATCAAGTTTATTCCGTGCGTTAACCGACCAGCACTGTCAGCAAATATTTTACACACAAATGGTTAWACATATACTTATGTATGTATGTATGTATATATTTATGTTTGTGCATGTGCAATAACGCCTTCTCAACTAATTCATTGCTGAAATTGTGTGCACAATATTAATCTAGTCTAATAAATAAACGCTGCACGTCTGATGTTCTGTGAAAAAGTTTCTCRACAGCAAGCTTTCCACTGACTCATAAAGCATTTTTGTAAATACGTAGTAGTATTTTACTTTATCACTCGTTATCATTTTAAAATTACATACAAATTTCGTTGCTTTTCGTTTTGTTTTGTGTTTCCTCCGAGAGTCCAAACATGTTTTGTGCTGTTACAATTTGATTACTTTTGCTCTGCTGTCGTTACTCGTGCATTTCCTCCGCCTGCGTTCACACGCCTCCCAACTGATACAGTGCTACATTTAATATTCGTCGACACTTTATTGGAATGCGAGCATTTGCTCTTTGTACGAGTCACTCCACGGAGCATTATAAATATTAGTAAATATTGTCATTGTCACAGCTGGAAATGATTCATGAATAAGTTGTGGAACACAAATGCTTTCCTCACAAACAATATATGTACCTACATATGTATAATATATATTTATATGTATAAATGTATAAGATTGCCCATAAGTGTGTCTGGGTATGTGTGTCCTTAAGATATTCCTTGTGACAAAAAAGTACCCGGAAATTGTAAATAAAGCGCAAAATGTTTAATTATTCATTAATATTTATTTYATCGCGTTTAAAGTAAGCCCAACCAGACGTTATGYCAACGAGTTTTCTAATCCTCGAAACACTTTTCATAAGCACTTTTTTTGATGGGCTTCAGCGAATTTTGGTTATCTCTTCATTCGATGGAAAATGAGTTCCATGGAGCGGCCATTTAATTTGGTAAACAAGTCAAAATCACACAGAGCCAAATCTGGTGAATACGGTAGAGAATCGATGATTTCACGCAAACTCCTTAATACGGTCAAATAGACTTCCTAATTGACCGTGTGTTCCTCCGGAATAAATTCATGATGCACCAAACCAGGAATATCGAAAAAACAATGAGCATCACGTTGATTTTTGAGCGGCTTTGGCGTGACTATAATGGTTTCGACTCSTTTTTTCCCTCAATTCCGAAGATTGTTGACTTCTTTGCATGTCAAACTCATAAATCCATGTCTCATCGACAGTTACAATGTTCGCTCAACCATCAAGC